GGCCTCAGTGTGTACTGTTCCTTAGAGCCTTGTAAGGTAAATCCAGGGAGGCGTGGTCCATCCAGAAACCATCCCTGTTTGTGTTGGTGTGTGTTCCTTTGTGTGTGTGTGTGGGAGGTGTGTGGGAGTGGGGAAGGGTGCTGGGAACATGGAGAATGACTTCTGCATTATCGAGCACCTTGAGCATTAACTAAGTACCTACTATGTGTCAACCCCAGTGTGGAGGACCGAGGTTGAATAATGCATTGCTTTTGTCTTCCAGGAGCCCCGAGTCTCATAGGGGAGACAGATGTATTTACAGTCAATCACAGTACAAGACCTCAACTCTCCCATTTTGCTAGATTGTCTCACCACCCTTGTGCTTCATCGGGTGTCTCAAGTGCCTCTCACGTTTCGAGGGCTCACAGATGGATTCACCCCAAATCACGAATACTTCATGGTTCTCTGGCAGGAAGCTCAAGGCCCTCATGTCTCTAGTCAGAATTAGTCACCCCAGGGTGCCAGGCGAGGTAGTGGACAATGCTGGGGGCTCAGGGACATATTAGAGCTCTGGCCCCTAAGGCATCCCCACCCCCAGCTTGATGGGGAAGAGAAATACACAGTTACCATGTAGATCAAGGGTTCCCTTGATCCAGCTAGGATGACCCTCAGCCACTCTCTCATTCCCACAATGCCCCTTTCCTCTAGGTCCCCTCAGCCCCCTGCCTTGAACCATGTCCTTCCTGATCCTGGATCCCTGCCCTGCTTTCACCTCCACCGTGTTTCCAGAGACACCTTTCTCAAAAGTGTGTGGAGACCTCAAATTGGCACCAGTGCCCTTGCTCATCCCTGTGCCTCTGTGCTCAGCCCTGGGGCTTGGTGATGCTTGAAGCAGAGATTTCTGGCCCTTTCACTGCAGCCCCTCCTCCACACCCCCAGTCTCTGGTCAGACTGGATTCCTCTCCTTCTCAGAACAGCTGCATTTTCCTACCTTGGGGTACCTTTGTTCTCCATGTTGCCTCTTCCCGGATGTCCTCCTCCACCCAGTTCTGCTCCCTTGCATAACTCCAGGGGAACATATTCACGAAGGTTCCTGTCATCAGTGTCCTCTGCAGTATAACCCAAGAAAGCAGCGCCCCTTCCCTGTCAAGCCTCCTCCTCAGAACCCCACCTCCACTCTGGTCTGAGTTTTCTCTCCCCTTGGTTCCACGAGACTTTGCACTCACCCATGACTGCTCTGTGTGTCTTCACGAGTAAACACCCATTTGCTGGGCTGATGTTCCCAGGGTCTGGCTCGTGGTTTGCTCTTGGTGACCCCCCCACCCAGTTCTGGCCAAGCAGGTCAGCCCTAGCAGGAATGAAGCTCACTGGCCAAAATTTTTATGTTTGGGGGCAGGGGGCTACACGACACAGGTTTCCTTCTCTTTGGCCAAAAGGGAATCACTTCCAAGACCCCCTCCTCTGGCAGGGTTGGGAAGCCAGTGGTAATGGTGAGTGACAGGGAGGGTGACTGATGAACTCAGGAGTCCTGGCCCCCCAGCTCTTCATTCCTGGAAAATGACCTCATCAGGTCAATACTGAGACTACTGGTGAGGCAAATGCATGGGCAATGAGAATCTTAATAGTAGTGATCAGACCAGCAAAGCAGGTGATAAGATACAACAACAGTAATCAAGGTGGGGCTGCTCTGACTTTCCTAGGACTTCATTCTCACCTTCGTCCTTCCTGAGGGTCCTCACCCGTCTGCCCAACCAAGCCTAGAATAAGGGAGCCCAGGGGTGGGCTCCCGAACCTGGTCTTCAGGTCCCAAACCTTGGCCCCCTGCTCTGGGTGCTTCCAGGTGTTGGTGAGCTATGACTCAGAGTCTGTTTCCCGGCTGACCTCAGCATGCGGCTGGTTGCAGGGGGAGAGGGCAGTTTCTTATGAAATTGTGACTCAGGGGCCCAGGGCTGGGGAGTTAAAGTGTCTTTGTTGGACTGGGCTCAGGAATCCAGAGAAACTAGTCAGAGAAAGGCCCCAGGGACTGAAACCCCTCCCTCTATCTCCGCCCACTCCACAGAGCTATATAACCGCCCCAAGCTCTAGCTTGAGCTCAAGCGGCAGCTGTCGGCGGGAAGGAACTGGCCTGGTCACACTCACTGGGCTTGTGCTTCTGACTCTTGGGAGACACTCCTCGGCTGCTCCACCTGCCTTTGCCCTCGGACCCGCAGCGAAAGGCCTCCCTGTGGACACTGAGCGTCCATCCTCAGCACTTGGATTTCTACAGCGCCCTGGGCCAGATTCCCAAAGACTTTCAGGTCCTAGACTCCAGCAGACGCTGAACAATGGCCTCCATGGGGTTACAGGTGATGGGCATCGCGCTGGCCGTGCTGGGCTGGCTGGGCGCCATACTGAGCTGTGCGCTGCCCATGTGGAAGGTGACGGCCTTCATCGGCAGCAACATCGTCACATCGCAGACCATCTGGGAGGGCCTGTGGATGAACTGCGTGGTGCAGAGCACCGGCCAGATGCAGTGCAAGGTGTACGATTCTATGCTGGCGCTGCCGCAGGACCTGCAGGCGGCCCGCGCCCTCATCGTGGTCTGCATCGTCCTGGCCGTGCTGGGCGTGCTGCTGTCCGTGGTGGGTGGCAAGTGCACCAACTGCGTGGAGGATGAGAGCACCAAAGCCAAGGTCATGATTGTGGCGGGAGTGGTGTTTCTTCTGGCCGGCCTGCTGGTGATGGTGCCCGTGTCCTGGACGGCCAACACCATCATCCGCGATTTCTACAATCCGCTGGTGGCCTCCGGCCAGAAGCGGGAGATAGGTGCCTCGCTCTACGTGGGCTGGGCGGCCGCCGGGCTGATGATGCTTGGCGGGGCCCTGCTCTGCTGCAACTGCCCGCCCCGCGCTGACAAGCCCTACTCGGCCAAGTATTCTGCCGCCCGCTCTGCCCCCGCCAGCAACTACGTGTAAGGTGCCGCTGCTCAGCTCTCCCTGTTGACTCTGTTTGTCCCTGGACTGAGCTCAGTGCAGCCTGTGACCGCGAGATGGCCCTGCTGGGGGATGGGCAAGCAGGGACTGGGACAGGCCATCGGCCAGAAGCCCTCGCCCTTCTGGCCCTCTCGGATACCTTCCTAAGGCCTCCTCTACACCAGCAAGAATGGACTGAAAGGCTTCCTAGCCACCTTCCTCTGAATGGACATGGATACAGGAGAGGGGGTGGCAGCAACCGGGCATGGCAGTGGAGTGGGGAGCTGGCTCTTGCTGGCAAGGACAGCTCAGCCCCGGCTCTGCTTGGACTCTGACTGGGTGCCTTGCCCATGCCGGTGTTGGCCACCGTTCCCTTTTTTGATCTTCCCCATTCCCTCCGAGTGCATCCTGTGGAAACCTGTGGCCCTGAGAATGGCTGGGGCCTCCCTCATCCACCTGCCTGCGGAGCAGAGTTGACAGACGGGTTTAGAAGGGAGGGGTGAAGGTGCTACAACTGGTTTGGGTAGTGGTGGAGGAGGGGCTTCAGAGGCAGCCCTGGCTGCCCATACCCCTCTTCCCCCCTCCTCTGCAGCCTCAGCAGAACCCTGGGCCCCTTGAAACTGTCCACCTCTGGATCTGCCATCCCTGCGAAGGTCGTTGCAGAGGGGAAACGGAAAGGGGAAAGCAGAGGGAATGGTCTTACTCTGGCCTTCATCCTAGTAAGCCCTGGGACTTTTTCCTGCCTTCTCTGTGGTTTGTTTTGTAATTTAAGATCTATTTGTCACTGTAATTACTATTATTTTCTATAATAAATGGAACCTGTACACAGGAAGACTCCATATGTTTCTGATTTCAGCGGTGGAGGTGGGCAGGGCAGGGGTGGAGGGGGTCAGTGAGGGACAGGACCACTGTGTCCAGCCTGGATGGGACGCTTAAAAACCGGTTTCGTGAAAAAATTGGAACTGGCCTGACCTTTGGAATCACCATGTTCAAGCCCTTCATTTGTTAGAGGGTGAACCCCATACACAGGAAAGTGTGTGCCAGAACCCTGGTGAAGTGTTGGGGACTCCAGAAGAGAGGACTGATGAGAACATCCAGCCCTAGAGAATGGGCTACCTGTTCTCTCCCTGTTTGTTCCAGCTTTGTCTGGGCAGCCAGGCTGGTCTGCTCACCCTCCAGGTCCCACCTCCTGGCTTTTGCTTAGGCTTTCCCTGCCCTTGTCCTGGAATGTCCTTTTTCCTCTCTCCACCCCTCTGAATCCTGCTCATCCTGAAGGCCCAGCTTGGAGCCTCCTCCCCCATGAAGCCTTCCCACCTGTTTGGAGGAATTACCACCAGCCCTGTTGACAGGGCAGCCTCCAAGCCTCACCCTGAGTTCCGATCTCTCTGGAGATAAAGAAACCAAGTACTGGACATGTGAAAGTGTTTGGCCAAGGCCCAGATGTGGGAGTACACGTTTCCTGTTTAGTGAGTTAGAAGTAAGAGGACCCATCACCCTAGGAGTCATAAAGTCCCACCTGTGGCCCTATAGTATCTGGCTCAGGGACAACCCAGGGTGGGGGCCCTCTCTGTCCAGTCTCTTCTCTACAATATCTCTCTCTTTCCCAGGGTGAGAGAAATGCAGTCAGAATCCTGTTGCCGCTACTGAGACCCATTTAATAGGCAGAGCTCTCCTGAGAAACAGGGTTGGTGCAGTGGCCCCATTTTACAGATGAAGTACAAAAGGCCTGAGGACAGGCCTGGATGAGGTTACCTGAAGGGTCAGAGGCTAGTTAGGGGCTGAGCACTGGGCCTCATTCCCTCAACCTGGGCCACCTCCTGCTTTCGGTAAAGGTAGACAATGCCAGAGATGAAGCCATCGTTGTCGGAAGTGCCAGGCACCACCTCAAGCTTGGTGGTAGCCAGTTCCCACCGGTCCACAGGCCAGGCTAACAGGCGTTCCCACTCCCTGGCCTGCTCCAGCCTGTCCAGGGTGGCCTCCAGTGCCTCCTTGTATCGAAGGTTAGAAGGGTTGGTCCTGGTTGTCAGACATACCAGCCCACCTGGGGAGAGGTAGGGGAAGAAAGGGAGGTGAGTGGGGAAGAGGCAGGAGACAAAGTTCCAGGTTAGTAGTCCCCTTTCCTTCTGGCTCATGTCCTCAAGGACATAGCCTATCCCCAGGCCAGCCTTTTCCTATCTCTAAGCCTTTGGTGCTCACCATTCCCACTTCCAGGAATAACCTATGCTTCTCCAGCTTGAGTGCTTCTTCTGTACCTTTTAGGGCCCAAGTATCCTTTACGTTGGGAACTCTATATCCATGGACAGAGGGGGCTCCCTCTTCACCACTCACCCAGCCCCTCTGCTGGAGGATATGGCTGTGTCTGGATGCACAGGAAGGAAGCACATGGTCTTGGACATGTCCCTTTACCTTCCGAGTCTCAGTTTCACAGCTTGCAGAGTGGGGTTAATTTATTATCCTGTCTCAGAAAGGCCAGTGCAGTCAGTAAGCACTGGATGAATGAATGAATGACCTCATTCCTTCAGATCTTTTCCAGGCACCTACAATATGCTCAGCGCAGGCTCACATAGGAAACACTGGTATCTGAAAGGTTTCCTGGAGGAAGGAGTGAGGAGAAGCAGGCCCTGCTGGTAGAGAGGGGCTGTGAGAGGAAAGGCTCTGAAGGGGGAGCCTACGACATGTGGGCAGGCAGACAAGGGTCTGGCCAGCTGAGGGGTACAGTAAGCACAGGCTGAGCTAAGAGGCCTGGTCTTTACTGATTTAGGCAATGGGAGTTTCCTGTCCTGGGACTAATCACTACCTCTTTCTCTGACCCTACCAATGTCCCTGCATCTGTCAGCGTCCCTGGTTCTGAGGCTTGCCCAGACCTGCCCAGGCTTAACCACAGCCCCTGCTGGGCCCCTGAAGGGAGATGTAATCTTGCTGTGTTAGGGGCACCTTTGGGGCTTCCTGGTCCTGTCTTGCAGCCAGGTCAGGGCCTCATGATCCTCTCACTCCACTATCTTTTCTGCCTGTGACTTCACTTAGGTTGTGTCCCTGTGTGGACTGCCCTCATTCCCCATCCCAGTCCTGGGAAATGCCTCTTTGATATCTTGAAGCACTGAGCACTCACAGCTCTTGTGGGTCCACCTCAGGCCTGGTCTTTTCCCCCTGGGCCCTGCAGTGAAGGTAGCCCAAGTGTTTGGGAAGCAGGAGTGTGGTGGGTTGGTGCGGGTGTGTACTTTCTTCCCAGAGCAGGGGCAGGCACAGGGCAAGACACACAGCAGGAGTGTAGCATTCAGCCCCATTTCACAGATGAGGAAACTGAGACCAGGAAAGAGTGACTCATCTAACAGTCATCCAATGAGTTAGTGAGGAAGCTGGAAGATGAGGGAACCGAATTGAGACCCTACTACAAGCAAGACTAAAGCAAAGGCCTTAAATATATTATTTCACCCAATTCTCACAGTAATCCTATTAGGAAGGGACTACACCACTCTGCTTACAGGTGAGGAACAGAGGCCGGAAAGGAGAGTGGAGTTACTCCTGGTTCCCTAATGAGTAAGAGGGAAGGAAGCCACTTGTCTGCCCTGCCTGTTTGCCTGGGTCAGCAGCTGGTGGCTGGGATGTTAGGCTAGACTCTGTGACCCTAGGCAAGACCATGCCACTTGCTTGGCCTCAGGAATTCTGAGGCTTGAGTCTTTGGGTGTGGAGAGGGGAAGGTGTGTGTGGGGTTGGACAGGCTGCTTCTCACCTGGCTTGGTAACTCGCAGGAGCTCAGGTATTGCACTACAGGGCACTTGGCCGTCACTGAGGGCACCCACCATCAGCACTGCGTCATAGGTCCCTGTGTGAGGTGTGCAGATGTGGTGTGTTGGTTTGTCTTCGGTGTGGCCTCAGACCACCCTGGAGGATGGTACCCATGGTAGGGCCTGGGGAGGGACCAGGCCAGCCACTAGTGTCTTCAGGATTCAGATCCCGTGGGGGATATGGCAGGTTAGCCCAGTCCTGGGCTGAGGTCAGGTTATGGGATGACAGGCTCAGAGACAGGGGCTCGTGGGGACTCAGAGAGGGTCTCAGTGAGGCATAAGGGGGCTCAGAGGGGAATGGAGGCTCAGTGTAGAAGGGGGCTGATGGAGGGCTCAATAAGGGGGATGGAAGCTTGGCAAGAGAAAGGGGTGCTATCAGGGTGGCTTTGGTAATAGGGGGGGCCTAGGGGTGTTAGGGTAGAAGGGGAAGTACCTTCGGGGCTGGGTAGAGGCTCCTGGCCCAGGGTACAGAGGCTGAGGCGCTGGTAGAGGCCGCGGGCCCGGGCCTGTTCCAGCATCCCTGGGCTCCCATCCACTCCATGCAGCCGGCGGAAGCCTTGGGCCTGCAGCTGGTGTGGGAGGACTCAGTCACGGTTCACACCTGTCACCTCCCAGCTGGGTCCCTGCACCTCAAGGAGGGCAGTAGGCCCTGCAGTGGATGTAGCCCAATTGTTTGGGAACCAGTGAGCCTGGGACCAGGGGTGGCAAGAAATTTGAGCAAGTGGGGGGCTTAAGAGAGGGCAGGGGATCCAGGCAGACCTCACCTCGGCAGCCACCAGGCCGGTGCCACAGGCTACGTCCAGGATCAAGGTGGCTTGAGGTGGGCCTGGAAGGGCTTGGATGAGGCAGTCCACTGCTAGGTGGGGGGCGCGGTACTGCAGGGCAGCCACATCCTGGGGACAGAGTGCTGAGCTGACTACCACCTTGTGTCTTAGTGTTTGGGGGAACCTCAGTGTGGGGTGGTCTAGGAGTCAGCCAGGCCAAGCTGTGTGTGTGTGTGTGTGTGTGTGTGTGTGTGCGCGTGTGTGTGTGTGCGGGCATGCATGTGCACGTGCTTGTGTGTGCTGGTGGCCGGGGGCCTGCTGGGACTGCAGTGAGAGGAGACAGGCACAAGGTGCTGTCCTCTACCAAGGGGCCAGACTGGAGAGTCAACCCCCAGCCCACTGCTGGCCAAGGCAGTGCTCTGTGCTTAGTCCAGAGTGACCCTTCAGTGGCACCTCCTTCAAGCAGGCAGTCCTTCTGCCTGGGCTGCAGTCCCAAAGTGGGGAGGGAGGTCTTGGCCCCTGATCTCTAGGCTGCCATTGTGAAGTGATGGGGCTACTCAGAGGGCGGGGCTGCTGTGGGTGGGCAAAAGAGGGGCCAGGGCTGCAAGGCTGTGCCCAGGTCTCACTTCATTCTCACAAGCCGCCCTGGGATGCAAAGCTATCTACTCCAGCTGTACAGATAGGAAAACTGAGGCTGGGCGAGCAAGGGAGGCGGAGGACCCGCGGCGGGTTTACCTGGTCATAGTCCGGAGCCCAGTGGTCATAGAAGCGCAGCTTGTGGGCCAGGTCGGTGATGCCATGCGAGGCCCCGACCCGCGCCCGCACCTCGGACAGGCTCCCACCCTCCTCGTGAGCCATCCTCCTGCTGGGACACGGCCTCCACGTCCTGAGATCCATCTCAGCCTCCACCCCGCACCTCTCCCACCCGCCATGCCCTGCAGAGGCTCTCCAGGCCCCCGGCACAAACCCATTTCACAGGCCGGGACGTTGAGCAGAGACTGGACACTTGGGGTTCAGGGCTGGAGAGGGGGTGTTCCTGTGGCAGGAGGGAGGGCTTGCCCCGACCTCCCCACCCCCGGCCGCCATGAGCGCGTTTCCAGGGCGGAAAGGTCCCTCCCGCGATAGGGGGAGTCAAGGGGAGGGTCCGAACTTACCGCCAGCCTGGGCCGCGGGGTGGGTGGGCGCGGGAGCTGGGAGCGGGGTCGGGACTGCGAGCCTGGCCCCGCCCCCGCCCTCGACCATTGGCTTGCTTCTAAGAAGAACCACCCAATCAAAAAATTCCCTGTTA